TCCTGCTGATGTAAAATCATGACAATAATGCTGTTGGTCATTGTGCAAATGTAGTGTGTTTGACTGTGGGTGAGAAATTCATGCGTGCAGTCTGCCCAGTTCCAAGTTCTAGCATGCAGAGTCCTTGGCAGGAAACTTTAGGCTTGGGCTGTCTCAGCAAGGTGCCCATTCCAGTGAGGGAGCATCCGTTACCGATGTTCCAAAAGGAAGCAAGCAATGAAATGGCGTTTTCCTGCAAGGGGTAAATGGGACCTGTCTGTATTGGCAGCAAAAAATCAGAACTCTTCTGAGGAAGGTTTCAGATAGATTTGATGGTCTGAACCGAGATTGGTAAGGTGCAGTCAGATATGAGGAGTGACATAAATGCAGGTTGCTGTGTGATTTAGGATTGTTCTTTCTGTCTGTCTCTTTTATCTATCTGTGTTACTCATGCACATTTTCATCGTTCGAACATGATTCTTGTAAAGGCGGATTCCTGTAGATAGCAAATTCATACTTCAGAAAAAACAGATAACCAAATTATTTGCATTTTATAGAGAAGGGTCTTGCAGTTAACCAGCGCAAGGAGCTGAAGACTTGTAATTCTTGTAACATCCAACAAAATCCATAGCACTTCATACCTTACTCCCTCTAAAATAAAAGCTATAGATAGCGATGGTTAATAATATTAGTGGCATTAATACTTGATTGTTTTAACCAAGTTTTACAAGTACTTTGTAATTACTGGATAACGGTGTTCTGTGAGAAAAAAACAGGGATAATGGTTCTAATATCAAAATGCAGGGTATGTATGCCTACACCCCGAAGTTCATTAAGCTACTTCATGAGAAGTTCAGTCAGCAAAACTGGCTGATAATTGGAGGCACTGCTTCCAGGGAGTATCAGCTTTAAAGGAAGCAGATCTGAATGATGAGTCTAAAATACAGTAGGAAAGTTTTCTCAGTGTAAAATAATTTCTGTTGTGTCAGTCCAAGCAGTCCCTATTTAAGCTATCTGTCTTTATAATTTCACCAGCTTGTTGAAAGCATGAGTGTTGGTCAGCAGTTCATGTGCATCTCCAGCAAAGGTGTCATGGAGTCTTCCAACTTTATAATAATTTTGTTTTTTAAACGAATTGAATATTCTCTAACTGAAGTTGTGTTCTTTTTCATGGTTAATTTGATGTTTTTAATATGTTTAAAAAATTACTTTATTTTAACTTGATTAGGCAAGATGCACAAAGAACAAAATAGCACAACATTTTGGGCTGGTTCATTTAATACAATCATTAGTTTGCAGTTTTATACAGTTCTCTACAAATACATTAATCACTGCATGTCACTGAATAATAATTGTGTTCAGAACTGTAACTCAGAGGAGAAACTAATACAAGGTTGCAAGTTTTAAAATAAAAGGAGTATTCGGTGCTTAAAGTATAGCTAACTAACTTATTTTTCATGTGAAAGTCCATTGAACATGAAAGACTTCGATTAAACTCTGAACTTTTCCAGCTTGAAGTAAAAAGAAAACAAACAACTTCCCCCTGCCCCCCAACTTTTGAGGTAGTTTGCCTCGAAAGTTATCAAATTCCTAAAGAGACAGATTCGGAAGAAAAACTGCTTTTACAGAACAGAATGCTTTCCACTGAAAACATTCTGACCTCAAATATATGTAGTTACAGGTACCACACTCAAATTTCCCGGCTAATTTAACTGTTAGATTGACAGATATTTATGATCTATACACGTACACACAAGCAGACACACATGTATATAAAAGTAATAAAGAAATAAAACTTAGGCTGCGAACACAAACTTTATAGCTATGTACAGCTAATACATTTCCCCACTGAAAGGAGTATATTGCAAATTATACTCTCTGGAAGAAAGATGAATTTTTCTGGTTTTTTTAATGAGTAAAACACTACAAGGAGCTTTTCACAATTTACAGCTTTAAAAAAGCATGAGGTTTTGTTTCTTCTTTAGTCTTGTCTTTACCTCCTAAAAACCGTTACATTAAATCCCCCCACCCACCCCCAAGGCATTCAGTTCCTGTTCCTGTGATGTCAATTATTCCAATATTTTTCCTGTTTGTTCTCTCCTCTTTTCTGTCTCTGCAGTTTCTCTTTGACCTCATCTCATTATAGCTATATTTAAATCGGAAAGCTTTTTTAATCATCATTCTGAACAGTACTTAAAATGGTTGTTAAGAGGCATCTTTGGAAATAATGCAGTTCTATTTGTATTTTCTACCTATAAAACTTAAAGAGAAACAGAGCTGTCAATTACTGCCAGTCTACGTATGCCATTGCAAAGAAAGCTGAGGGAGTCTTGCTCAAACTATTGTTTAGCCTTGATAGGAGATTTATTTGTATGTGTTTGGGTTTGGTTTTGGCATACTATTAGAACTGTATTTATCAACAGTGGGGACCTAACACATACACATATTTTGTTTTAGTCTGAAGGAAAAAGCCACACAAGTGCTGGGGATGCAATTTATGAAGTTGTCAGTCTGCAAAGAGAATCTGCAAGAGAGGAAGAATTGGTCAGCCCAACAAGTGGAGGAGGGCCTATATCATCGCAGGAGGATGAGGCAGAAGAAGGTAAGAATAAATGAGCACTTATAGTTCTCACAGATAGTACTATTATATTTCTGCTGTTAATTTACTCATTTAATTCTTCCTATTTGTGTCTATTAGAAATACAACTGTTTTGGACAAAAAGATCGCATGTAATTTTCTGCTAGCAGCAGTTCTTTAGTAATGCCATTTTTACCAACCTATTATTTGGAGTTCTGCAGTAGCAGCAGCAGACAACGCATGTCCATTTTTCTGTATGCTTCAAAATGTGTTACTGCTGCACTTGTGCTCTGCTAACAAGATAGAAAACCTTTTCTAGAAGGATTTTCTTCTGATCAGCAGCCATTTGCCTTGAATGTGCTGCTAAAGGACAGCATTGGAATGGGCTTTCAAAAGGCGGCCTTTAAATGCCTGTTTGTAAAGAAAAACAAAGAAAATCCCAGACTCATATGGGGAGTTCCCCCAGCCCCCAAACTGTCTGCTTACCATGTGATTCATTTTCCCTCATTTGATAAGCCCTAGGTATAAAATTATCTCCTCATTCAGTTGGGGATCATGTTGGGGATTGCTGTTGTTCATGGACCCAGCATATTTGCCTGCCCCTTCCAAAGCTAACAGTACCTCAATGTCTTTCCCACCAGTGTGTTTTTTTTTTTTTGTTTGGGCTTTTTTTTTGAGTGTCTGTTGGGTGTTTTTTGGTTTTTTTTGTTTTTTTTTTTTTTGAAGGCCCTTGGCCTCACCTCTTTGTACTCTGAGGCCTCACCTCTTTGTACTCTGAGGGCTAGCCCGTAGCATTCAGAATAGGCTTTTTGTGTGCCATTTTTGATCTGGATATCTGACCTACCAGAACTCGTGATAGTTTTACAAAGTTGTTATTCAGATTTCTGGCACTATTCTGTCAGTACTCTAAAAAAGTCTCACTTATTGCAGTGGAAAAATTCCTTCTTGATTCTTACTTATATCTAAGTAGTTGGATATTAGTTTATGCAATGCGGATCAGATCCCTGTGATTAACACCATCGGGAGCAGACAGGTATGGTTACATGGTTACTCTCTTCCAGTTACAAACAAAAAACCCCACATATCCCAGGTGACACCAGGCTTACAAACCCCACAGCCACGTGGTCTTTGGTGAATTGAAAACCTTCTCCTGATTCCTGGGAGGGAGCAGGATGGACATTGACAATCACTGTTATTCCCTCCTTTATATCACGTACCACTTCTGAATAGTAAAAATACTGTTTTCGCTAAATGAGCTTTTAAATTGGTATTTGGAGTTATTTCAGATTTGACCTTTGAGTATTGTGGTTCACTGTAGAGTAGTTCAACATCTCTGCGTGTTCTTTTCCTTGCTGGATGTTTCATAGTTGTATAGTCAGAATGTTTTCTGGAGCTTGTTTGATAAGATAGGATTTATGTCATTACTTGAATACTTTTTTTTTTTTTTTTTCATATTGCTTCTTACTGGGAAGAGTAAAGCACTGTTCCAGAATTTGATGAATGTAGCACAATTAGTAATAATGTGGATATTGTCCTCTTGGTACTATTATAGAATGACTCTATTTTATTATAGACTAAAAGTATTCCACTGGGGTATGAACCCAAGTTTAACTTTGGTTTAGTTTCCTAATGCTAGTTTCCATATTTTAAATGTAGATTACTTCCTAAGAGAAGACATTAAAAATATCATGATGTGACTCTGTTCTCATGGAAACTGCATTTAGAGTTATCTGCCTAGAAGTTATCTATCCTAGTGGATATGCAGGTTAAATGAGTCATTTGCAGTTGTTCTAAATAAATCTCTTCATTCTTTTTCTTTCTTTTTCTTTTCAGGGTACTAATTATGATGATGGAAAAAAAACCCCTTGAGTTTACAATGTCTTGTCTTAGCCTTGGAAGAAGGCTTTTTCTTTTCTTTCATGTTAAGAATGGTAGCTACCTGGCCATGTGGGTTTTTTCTGCTTGCAACCTGACTAGGGCAGGTGTGCATTGTAAGGATTTTCCTATTTCATAGGTCAGAGGCTGGTATTCCCATTACAGATATCGAGGAGGATTATCTGTTCTCTTTATTTTTTTTGCTATATCCTCATATATATCCTACATGCCCACAGAATATGACTTAATTTACTTCAGAAGCACCATGCGTTGCAATTTCATTTGTATAATGCTGTAAGACTGCATGCCTCATTTGCACCGTCCCCGATTTCTGTGTACTCTGTGTGTGTGTGTGCGCATACACATAGCTCAGTGGGATGTCTTATGTCATGAGTATATGAATAAAGATGTTCATAAGAAAGAAGGCATTTCTTTCAATATTCTTTTTGTTTTAATGAAAGGCCAAACATGATTCCTGCTCCCCCCCAATGATTTAAAATAATTACTGTACTAGTGTTAGGTGTAGTCTCTTTCAAATAGGCAGCAACTGCATATAGAAAATTGAGATCATATATTCCCTAAATAACATTCTTAGCTTTTCATATTCTTATTTTAGCTTTATTTTTCATCTGAACAGCTATATAAAAAAATTAAGACCTTTCCAAAGATTGTGCAGTAGCTACTTAGAGATCTTTCAGATCAACCTCACTTATTTTTTTTTCCCCCCAATTATTAATATTGTAATAGATATTTCTGGCAACCCAGTCATCTAAGGTTCCTTGCTTTGGAGATAATAATTTTTAAAATATAATTAATATTAATGCTTTCTTGTCAAAACCTAGAATGTAAAGTACACTTCTTGATAAGAAGTTTTCTATTAAATTCAGAAATAATTTAAAAAAAATATATAATGAAGAAATTCTTACACTTTCTGGAAAGGTTTCAGATAAAGTGGATTTAAGTATCAATTTTTATCAACAAGCAGAAAAATTCACTGTTAATATTTAATTTTGAGTAGAACCTTGTAACAAGGTGCACAGCACAACTGGTTGACCTAATCTTTCTCCTTTTCGGAGCATTAAGAGTAAGTGAGAACATGTACAGAAGTAATGGCTTGTATATTGTATTATTTAAAAAAGACAAAGCTGCATAGAGCATTTTTATTGTAGTGTCATTCTATGGCAGGATGAAGTGGCTGGCTGCATGTGTGAGCCCAAGGACTGAAGAAAATTGCTTTCCAGCAGAAGCATTTGCAAGGAGAGTGTAGTCCTAGAAACAAATAATAAAGGAGAAGGGAAGCATAGGTTGGCTTCTTTTAGCAGCATTGCTTGCTTAGACCATACATGAAATGATGATCTTCCTTTGGCTCTAATATTTGAACTCTTTTTTTTTTTTTTTTTTTTTTTCTTAACTGTAACATAACATTTCAGGAGAATACTAGATAACTCCATTTGAGTTTCTTCTTGAATCAGAATAATGTTAGAAGGTTAAGGCTCACTGTAAGTGGGAGCAGTTTTGTTTAAAAACAGAAAATAGTCTTTAAACTGATTGTAACTGAGTTGAGTTGTTTTTTTTGGTTTTTTTTGCTGAGGTTTTATATGGTCCCAAGTGTCCGGTTACTAGCTCTTGTTCCAATCCATAAACCGCATGCAGAGTAAACATAGAATGTTTAGCAGACATCCTGAAACAAGTAATTCATGATAGGTAAAAGATAACATGCCTGCCAAGTCTCCCAAAAGTTTCTCGATTGCCTCTAGAACACTCTCAGTTGACTTCCAGGAATGCAGTACTGTTTGGGTTTGTGTTTTTATTTACTGCAACAATAGATTTCATGACGATTTAGATATTACTTTTCTGACAGATGGGAACTGAGCAGGGATGCAGTTGACAGCATAGTGGATACTGATGCATAAACAGTGGACTTAAACCAAAAAGAATCCTATTGAAATGTGTTTGGTGTTTAGTAGTTATTGGCCTTTAATAAGAAGAAATTATATATAAATATGAAGCTGTAAAAGTAAGAAAGATCAGCAGAAGAGAAGAAATAACAAACTTAAGAGGGTAAAACTATCTCTGTGCTCTCTCTAGCTGTCTTAACTCTAAGAACAAAAAGAAAGGGATATTATACAATAGAAAAATTAACGTAAGAGGTATGGAAATTCAGTGTGGAGATGGTGAAATCTGACAACTAAAATGGAAATGAAAGGATAGAGGACCCTGAAAGCTTCAAAGAAATCCGAGTGTGATGTATCGGACAGCACAAAAAGATGGTGTGTACAGTAGATAAGAAGTGGGCAATACTAAATGATCGGAGATGATCAGCCAGACTAAATTAGGATACTGTGTCAAATGTTGTGGGTGGGTAGAGGCTGTTTTCAGGATTCAAAAAAGCAAAGGAGTAGAGGAGGTGGTGTTTTAGGTCAATAGAGCTATTGGGAGTATTTTGTGATAAAATAGGGGTTTATGATGAGGGATAGCAGGAACAAATGAGGATGACTGAGTGAGAAGAATGACATTAGTAGTGGGGAAATAGTTAGCTCTGCATTTTTATCCAAATTAAAAATAGCTTTATGTAATTCATAGGAACTGTTTGTTATAGTAATCCAATACAGAATAATCTTGGTGGGTCCTAAACAAGATCAATTAAGTCTGTATTGGGGTCTTTTTACTGTCTCCATAAAAATTAACTAAAACTTTATAAATCCTAAATTCATGAGGTCATTTGGCTAGTGGCTGTCTTCAGACAAGAACTCTGCTGCAGTTCTGTAAGAGACGAGTTTTAAAATGCAAGCACTTCTGAAGAATGCAGATCTATAGCTTCCAAATAAAACGAAAATATTCCTGATGAGCCTGATGTAATTTTATGGACTCTACTATCCGTTCTCTTGCACTGGATTATTTTCATACCTTGTAAGTTAACTTCTGTTATTAAAAATAATAGAATCATAGAATAAATGCACTCAATTGACTTCTGCAGCTATTATTGTGCTGCCAGAAAGAATATGATCCCTTCCTTAGTATATAAAAAAAATACTGAGTGCAGAAGACTGTATTTTTTAATATGCCCTGAATGGTGGCAGTTCTTGTTGATGGTTACAGCTGTATTTAAATTTGTTCATGCAACTATGGCCTTTCTGTTAAAAGGCAAG